ACAGTTATATATAACCTGATTTTTCCCAGACCTCAGCACCTTTTTAGTCCAGATGGGGTCCCTATAACAGCAATGACACAAATCACTCTTCTCACAGATATATTTTGAAAGTGTCTATAAAGTCTTCCCGTCCTCTTAACACCGGGCAAGGCTTTCTTGAAATCCTCAGGGGGTGCTCTTAGGTGTTCCCAAATAGGTGTGGACCCACCACATGCCCCCATAGCTCTGCTAAACGCTACAGGTCCTGGGGCACCTGGGTGGCTCATAAGCATCTGCCTTCGGCTCAGGTCATGATCTCGGGATCCTGGGATCGAGCCCCACATCGGGCTCCCTGCTCGGCGGGAAGCCTGCTTCTCCCTCTCCCACTCCCCCTGCTTGTGTTCCCTCTCTCGCTGTGTCTCTCTCTGTCAAATAAATAAATAAAATCTTTAAAATTAAAAAAAAAAAAAAAAAACGCTACAGGTCCCCATGAGGACCATGCCCAAATCCAGCCCTGCAGGTTCCCAGCAGACACCACCTGAGACATGCTGGAGCCTTCTCTGTGAAAGAGCTGCATGTCCACCTAATGAAGGCAGAGGGAACCCACCTTCTATCTCTGTTACACCCTGTGAGGGGAGTTCCACAAGCATGCTGCTTAGGCTCCCAAATTTTGTGGAATTTGGTGAAAATATCTCTTTTGTGTTTTGCTTACAGTCCCTCTGCTCTCCACAGGACTCAGCCATGAATGTAGATGGGGCTAGAATAGTAGGCAAAATTAGCCAAAGACAGTTTCATACTCAGAATCACCTCTCCTTCTGTGACAAGGAGATACAAGACTAAAGAAGACTCCAGGGTTTGAGGTAAGAACCCTCTTCATAAAACAAGAATCATGCTCCCTGACTCTTCACCTCTTTACACTATTATTTTTTTAGATTTTATTTATTTGACAGAGAGAGAAAGAACACACAAGCAGGGGGAGGGGCAGAGAGAGAGGGAGAAGCAGGCTTCCAGGATCCTGGGATCATGACCTGAGCCGAAGGCAGACGCTTAACCAACTGAGCCACCCAGGCGCCCCTCTTTACACTATTACTATGCTAGGGAGGACAAAGCCAAAAATAACAGAGAGCAGCTCAGGAGAGGCTTGAAGCACTATACAGTAAAAAATATTATTTTTCACTGATTATGCATCCACTGGTTTGCCTTTATAATCTGTAATCTTCATAACATCCCTGTTCCAAGTAAGAGATGTTTAATATGGACGATAGAAAGCCTGACCAAACTGAGCTAAAAGCAAACACTGGAATGTTTGCTGATGTAATAAAATGCTGGAGAGAGACAGATTTCGTTTCAGGTATGACCTGATCCAGGGATCACTTGATAGGAAAAGGGGATGGTTTCTGTTTCTCAGCTCTGCTTGCTCAGTGTTGAGTCTTCTCCAGCAGGCCTTGCCCTCGTGATTACAAGACTGTTCCCAGCAGCAACTCGTGAGCTTTTCCTTCCAGGTGCAAATCCGTTAGAAATGAGCAAGTCAGCTTCCCCAAGACTTCAAAATAAGACCCAGCAACTGAGTTTCTGTGCCCACGGGCTTGTCCATCAGTTAGACGGCACAGCCGGGAGGAAGGAGAATGCTGAGTGGCTTAGCCCAGGCCCCATGCTCCAAGGGCATCAACCTCACCAGGAGTACTCAGACGGAAGTGGAGGAGGACCAGCTCGCCTAGCAAAATCAGGGCATTGCTGCCAAAGGAAGACAGTTAATTGTGAGCAGCAAAAATAGCAGAGTCCACGACAAAACTTGTGAGGTTGAAAATACTATTCTCACCGTACAGATGGAGAAATCAAAGGTCCCAGCTGTTAGGTGATTTGCACAAAAATCATAGAATTGGAAAGTGGCACGGATTGGATTTGACCTGAATACTGAGTGGGCTAAGACTAAAAAAGGATGAGGGGGTGTTTCCCAGGCAGACTGGAGCAAGGAGGCTGCTCTGGGCAGAGGTCTGTGAATACACAGTTACAAGGATGTTGGGAGGGCAAGGAGCTTTCAGGGAATTTCAAGTTGTTTGCAACGTTGTCAGGCAGTGCAGCAAAGAAAAGAGCTCATTCTGGTGTCAGAGGGATTAGGACTCTTATTTGCCAGGGGGTGACCGTGGACAAGGACATAACTGCTCAGCTCACAACACCATCTGTAATACAGGGATAATATGCTTCATGGAGTTGTTGGGAGGAATAAGCAAGATAACATAATAAAGGAACTAGGACAGCACCTAGCACATAGAAACTCAACAAATGGTAGATAATACTGTGCTGATGATAAGTTGCAGAAGGTGATGAACGGGAAAGATGGTAGTAAAATAAACTCAAAAAATAACAATAGGTCAGGTCATGCTAAGATAAGGATTTTAGATTTTATCCTCCAGAAAATGGAGAATAATGGAAGGATTTTGACCAGAGAGGTGGCCTAATTAGTTTTTCATTTTGGATCACTCTGGTAGCAATATGTAATTACAGCAGTTGGGGGGGGGGGGGTCTAGTAAAGAGACCATCAAAATAGATTGACCAGCGGTTGCCAAATCTAGCTCAGTGTCAAAATTACTAGGATTTTTGTTTTAATACAGATTTCTGGACTCCTCAGCAGTGGGGAAATATCTGGGTTGAGCTATCAGCTAGTTTCCACCCAGCCCTGTTTGTCCCTTAAGGGAATTGATCTGCCTCCTTCCCAAGAATCAGCATTGCCTAAAGGAAAACTAGGATTGTAGCAGGAATGCAAATATTAAGGAATAAGCAACTCTCTGGTTTTCTTAACTCCAAGATTCTTGAGGCCCCTTGGATGCAGAGTGGGGCAATCAGATAAGGATTGGGGGTGCCAGAAGAGGTGAAGAGGATGGGATGGAGCATGACTTTTCAGGACGTCAGTGGGTCTGACCAGAGCTGAGCTCCAGGAAAGATGTAGATTCAGGTTCAGGAGATAGCCAGCCCGGAGCCTCTTGGGAGCTGATCCAACCCAACAGTCTCCCAGTCCCCATTCAGTCCCCATCTGATTGAGCACAAGCTGCCTGTGTGAAAGAACCACGGCCTAGTTCTTCCTGCCTACTTTTCACCACCATCCAGTAAGGGCTTCCCATCCACAACTCTATCCCAGCGGCTCTATGACTCCAGACTTTGCTGACTTTGAACTGCTTTATGTGGGTAATAGATAATAGTCATTTCAATGGGCCAAACACTCGTGGGCCACTGCATTTCCATCTTATGGATGAGCCATAATTCACCCAACCAACCATTTCCCCTAGTCTCAGATGTTTACGTTCTTTCCAAATTTCTACTAGTAAATTTACCATGATGAAAATTTGCACATAAACCTTTTACTGCCATCACTTCCAACTCTACAATATCTAATACTCTTCGATGAAACCTGCTAATGGTTATTTTCTCAAGTTCGAGTTCAAATCTCAAACACTACTTTCTTCTCAAAGGATGCAATTGGAGATCATTTGATAAAGTTCAATACAGTTAACCATTGACCAACGTGAGGTTTAGGGGCACAGTCAAGAATCCACACGTAACTTCTGAGTCCCCCCAAACTTAACTACTAATAGCCTACTGTTGACCGGCAGCTTTACCAATAACATAAAGTTAATTAACACACATTTTGTATGTTATATGCATTATATACTGTATTCTTACAATAAAGTAAGCTAGAGAAAAGAAAATGTTAGGAAAATGGTAAGAAAAAATGTATTTACAGTACTTTATTTATCAAATAAGTCCACATATAAGTGGACCTGAGGAGCTCAAACTCCTGTGGTTCAAGGGTCAACTGTACCTGTTAAGGATTTTTTGAAAACCTCTTAGCGAGCAAGAAATAAAAGGTAATTTCCTTAACCTGATAAAAGATACCTACCGGAAATCTCAGCAAACATCTTACTTAATGGTTCCCTTAAAAGTCAGGAATGAGATATGAATGCCCGTTATCACTGCTTCTATCAATACTGGAGGTCCTAGAAAAAAAGATAAAAGAAAAAAAAAGAGACTGCTGCCTCATCCAAGGGTGTAGAGAAACAGGCATATTCTCATTCATGGCTTGTACGAGAAGTTCGACCTTTAGCGGTGGCAATTTGACAATATATAGGACTTAGAGATGTTCATACTTTCTGACGCAGCACCGACCCAGCACCACTACCACGGTGAACACACCCGGAGGAAACACTTGAGGCTGTACACAAAGATGTTGAGTATTAAGGTGCGCTCTCTCAAGAACTACCTTGAACAGGAACCGCCTGTCTAACAACAAGGTACTGGTTATGTGAATTCTGGCATGAGCACGTGATGGCCTACTAGTCACTGGAAATACTGCTGTATAAGAGCATTTACTGGAGAGACAGCTTTAATCTACCTTTTTGTGTGTGTCTACACACACACACACATACAAACAAGAACATACTGGAAAAGCCCATACCAGAATACTGATGATTCCTTATGCTCTGTTTTGCAAATTTTCTTAAAATGCATGCTACTTTTTTAATTAGCAGAAGTACTGTATTTTAAATACTGCCTCAAATGACTGCTGTAGGCAGCAGAGAAAGTGGCTCAGGAAGAGTAAAGGGAGACTTTAGGAGGAGTGCAGCTGCAGCATTACCCGCGATCACAACTCCCCACTCCTCTAGAATCCGTAAGACCAGGAAGCTCAATTGCATTCTTATTGTTCTATTTTATTAAAACAAAGGAAAAGGACAAACCTAAAGGTTAATTTTATATACGCACGTACATTCACACACACATTCTTAAATAAACTCTCCGTTTACTCATACTCAGGAACCCGCTATTCTGCCAAGTTCTCCAAAGGTCACAGGCCACCTTGCAACCCAGTGATTAGACTAGAGGAGATGGAGCTTACTGGGCGGTTTCCCTGGATCACGTGACCAGGGAGGGAGCGGGGCGGGGGGGGGGGGCTGAAGAGGTCAACAGTGCCATGTCAATGGCACAACGGTATTCTACGAGTGAGCTCCGAGAGAAAAACACCGCAACAGTTACAACAATGAGAATCTTTATGCACGTATCTCTGTAATCCCTACAATTCTTTAGAACAACAACAGAGACCCAAAAAAGGAATACAATGTTTCAAACATTACAGAGGTCAACATTACAAAGTAGGTTTAAATCATCTGGAGGCTTCTGTAAGAGGACGGGGGTACAGAAGCATCGGAAGGAGTCGACTGCCCGCACAAGTGCTGACAGGGGACAGACCTAGCTAGAAACAAAGAAACCGCTACTAGGTAAGTACTTCTGGTGCTTGCATACAGTGTCCAATACACACAGACGATAACAAGTCCATACTGGTCTTTGCCCATGCGGTGTGGTAGAGGCCACTGCACTTGTCTTCATTTTCTAAGGTAGGCAAGTCTCCAAAATTGACCGATTCACATCGTGAGTACATGGTACAATGCATGCACGTTATTGGTACAGAGAGCGCTTCGACAGAAATCCGTCGGTTTTTAAAATCCTGACAAGGTCATTTTTACCTCAAAGGATTATTACACTTTCATTTCTTCGTTCTTTCATCTGGGATCGGTACTTATTCCAAAGCATGTGCCATCTCATCCATCCGTTTCTCAGAAAGACCAACACGGGGGAAATGGGCTGGGCAGGCGCTGCTGAGGCCAAGATGCTTGGTAGATAGCAACAGCGCCATCCTAAGGATGGTGGCAAGTGGCCTCCACCCCATGCCCCACCTCCCTGAACCCAGATCCTCAGGGAGCTGGGAGCAGCCTCTAGAGAAGAAAGAACAATTCTCTATTCGAGTCAGACATCCCTCAAAGGAATGAGTCTATTCTGACTCATGTGGGTCGGGGGAGGAGAAAAGAATCTAAGGTGGAATCATTCTTATCTGTAAAGTTTTAGCAGATGGAAGAAAATCATGTCATTTGCTTAACTTTGGAAAATGCAGTGGGTCCTATCCCCTGGGGGTGGAATGCAAAGTAAGCCCAACATTCCACCTACACTCTTCCCAAGACAGAGGTGGTGGGCATTGCTGCTTTTTAAGAAGCTGCGTGCTAACTTCAGATGGCACAGAATTCAAGACCAAAACCGCAATGACTTATTAGTCATATTTTCCACCTTCAGCTCCTTCGGGGGTAAAAATACCACAGAAGGGATAAAATGGCTTTTCTCACTGTATGTCATTGTGTTTTCTGTTCAAAAGAGCCCACACAACCACATTCTCTATTATAAAAATTAATACCTCTCATAGTAAAAGCCCTCTCTAAAATTATAGCTTTGGTTTCAGAACTGGCAACCCAATTAGCTCAAATTAACATCGAATGCATCAACAATATGCCAGCAAGCACGGCCAAGGTCTTTCAGAGATGAGGATAAAGATGCTGAGTCTATTCTTCTAATGACAGTAAGAGATGGGGGCTGAGGAGTGAGCCTTTGTTCAGACAAATGACAGCTGCATGAAGCATTTTTAAAATGAGCTACCTTTTTGGGTAAAAAGGTTAGAGCTGGTTTTGTAAAATGCCATCACAGGACTCTGTAACGTCTGGAGAAAGGTCCTCTGAATCAGGAGGGAGCATAGTGAATGGCTTCCCGGTCCTGGTGTTTAGAACTCATGTAGCCAATGCATCTGTGTACAAAGAGCATCAAATCCGCCTACGGTGCTGGAGGAGACGTGACTGAGTCACACTGAATACCAGGAGTATTTACCTTGAGTGTCTGAGTGCACTTCACCTCTGTTGTGGCTCAGAGTTCCCATCTGCATAGTGGAAATAACAGGTGCTCTCTGACCCGCTGCGACCGGGGGAGAGGTGGGTAAGAGAGAGCTAGAAAGCACTAGCGCCTTCTCCAAAGAAAGGCAGTGTTCAAGTAACAAAGTACTCAACAAAGTACTCCAATCAAAAAAGCACAAAATTCAAGTAACAGAATTGCAGGTGCTATGTTCTGGCTTTTGAACAGCAGAGGCCTCACGGCATCTGCCAAGAAGAGCTGGTAGGTAAATGAGCTACGTGGCAGAAGATGCAGGACAAGCTCCATATGGAGCCCATCGAGTCCTCCCACCACTGAGGACTGTAACTCTTCGTCAGAGGAGAAAATGAACCCTGGGAAAAGCTTCGTGGAATCAGCAAGCTGTTCAGGGCGATTGTTTAATGCATATCCCATGTGTGTTCTCTGCATAAGATCTTCAAGTTGGTGGACCAACCTAAATTTCAACAGATAGAGCTTTTCTTCATTTTGCACGTACAAAGAGAAAGAAAGGCTATCTACATTTTTCTCCTGCACTTTAGCATAAGAATAAAAAAACAATCTTGAGCCTGGCTGAAAGAAACTACTGAAGAAAAACTCACATACACAAACATTCCCTCAGTGGGGCAGGAAGAGGGAAATTGGGAAGTTTTTTGCAACTGAGAAACTTACTTCCTTTTTACAGTTTCTGTTCTAGCAAGCTAGGTGTGTGCATGCTTGAGGATCAGTCACACCCAGAGAACCAGAGAAGGTCTGGGGGGAGTGCAGTCACAGGGACCCTGAAGGTCCTGAGAACAGGAAGGAAGAGGGGGTTAACAGTCTAGATGCACAGTCTTGTCTGAACAATTCACAATGAAAACCTGGGAAAACTTCACACTTTAAAACTGCAATATTTATTCTGCCACAAGAATTCGCTGGATCCGTCATCGGGGGGTGGGCGAAAACATACCCATTCTAGCTCCCAGTATAAAACTTCCAGTTCCCATTGTCACGGACTGGTGTTCAACTCTGAACCTACCCATTCGCTTTCACTGGACGGTCAGAACTCTTGGAGCCATTCAGCTGGAACCCTCAGACTGCCATGAGAAGGTGAATCTAGATTCAGTTTCTGAGGGCCGTCATCGTTTCTTAGTGCTGCTGTTTCCACCACCCGGTTTGCTGAAGCTCCTGCTCATGTGAGGAAAGTGCACAGTTGGGGTTCTTTCCGTAGGACCATACAGCCCCAAATTCCTGGCGGCGGCGGACTTCCGCAGTGGTTTGACGCTGGGGAAAGGGCTAAAGATGGGCGCTTTCGGGTGGCTGCCCTGGGGAGGTTTGCTGGGGGCTCTGGTTTCACCGGGGGCATCAGGCAGCTCTGGGAAGTGCTGCGGGCAGGGCGGGTGTGCCTTGGGCTCAGGGTCGGCAGCAGCATCCCTCGGATTCAGTTCCAAGGCTTCTAACTTCACCTGGACCGCAGACACGTCGGCATCGGCATCCCGGAACACGGGCTCTGGAGACTGCCCTTCGATCGTCCTCCCAGTGCTGCCTTCGGAGCAGTGACCCTCGCTCCCAGCTGTTGCTGCACACCTGGAAGAAGCCTCCGCTGCCCCCAGGCTGTTAGCCCTGCAGCCCTCGTTCTGCTCCTCTATCAGCCCCACGGTGTCCCCACAGCCCAGCTGATTCTTGGTCCTCGTCATGTTCTTTTTGTGGACGCGGATGTGCGTTCGCCACGGGGAATTGAGCTTCGTCTTCAGGTCTTCATAGGGGACAGGAGACATCTTGCCTCCTGTGTGACCAGGGACGTGGATGACAGCATTCTTGGCAGGTCTGTTTGACATTTTCATCTTCTTTCCTAAAAGAAGGTGGTTGATAACTGGAGAGTTGTTTACCTGAGATGGGAGAATGCTGGTCACTGGCCCTTTGTCTGAAAGAAATGGTGAAAGGCTGGATGAAACGGACCACAGAGAAACCATCTGTTGTGGCACAGGAATCACATAGAGCTTGTCCCCCAATCCTGGCCGTGTATTTCCCAGGTTTTGGCAGAGCCATGTGACTGAAGGTAACAAAAACTGAACTCAATCCTAGAGCCCAGGGTGCCTATTCCCTCCTCTTCAGAGGGGAGGAGACACGAGGCTGAGGATACAAAAGCAGCAGACTCTGGCCCCTCGTTACTAATTCAAGTGCAGATGCCCTACTGTTTCTTCCCAACAGTTTTTGTCTCTGAGAAACAACCTCAGAGGTCTTGTATCTAGAAAATCTTAGAAGACTTTTTTAAAAATAAGTCAAACACTATGACCATATGGATTATCAGCTGTTAGCTTCTGAGAGGTAGGAAAAGAACACACCGCGTATTATGAAGTGAGAGACAGCAGGATGAGAGAAGTGATAAGAAGGTGGTAAAAACGCAGTGAAGTCACTGCTCCCCGATGCCTGGTCTTAAGTACGAAAATCCATTCCTGTGTCCTCAATGGACTTTGAAAGCAAACTGAAAACTGGAAAGCACCAAGAGCTGTGTGCTCCTGGAGGGCACTGTTAGTAGTATTATTATCCTCCTCCTCCCGTGGCTATGACCAAGCCCCTATTTCAGATGATGCTCAAACACACACGGTTCAAACACACATGGCCCCAGAGAGAAGGCCCCACCATCTTCATGTGAATAACCTTCTTCCTGACGTCCATGTCATCAGCTGAACTCACTTCTACACTTCTCGACTACTGTCATCTACCTCTGGTCACACTCCAGTCCTTCCTGAAAATGCTGACAACTGTCTCCTCTTCACCTCATATCCTATTATCCCCCTCAGTTACTTTACTGTTTCTCTGACTGATCCATCCTCATGCTTCTTCTACCACCCCAATTCACTCAGATCTACCTTCCCTGAAAAATATTTTAACTCTCCTATTCTTCTCTTTGACTCTTTTAGCTCTCAGGTTCTCAATATAGCCATCTATGGTCCTGAACCAAAGAGACTTTGGTTCTTCGATCTTTCAAACTTCCCATAACCCCTCGTCGGTCTCTGGGTCTCTTACACCCCTACCAGGCTAGATGCCTGGCTGATCACTGGGATTGCTGCCTCACCGATAACCACACATTCTCAACATCCCCATGCCTTTATACTTGGCAAAATCCCAAACTGGACCCACAAATCACATTATCTTTTCCAAAAAGGGGGTGGGGGAGAATCACACAGACATGTGGATGAAGCCCTTCAGATTCATTAACTTCCTATTTTGTTGGGTCCTCAAAGGCACAGAACAATCCTTTTCTTTCCTTCTTCCATTCCATTCCATGACCCATCCAAATCTTCCTTACTTCTACTCTCCCACTGTAGTCCTCCAACTTACTCCCAAGCAAAGGACATTTCCTCCAATTGCTCCACAAAAACAAAAGCTATCAGATCCAAAAGCCCCTAACTTCCTGTCCTCCCTAACCTGGGAAGTTGGTACCTCAACCACTATCCTCCCATCTTCCTTTACATCTCAGAAGCTGAGGTCAGGTGCAACCTTTTCCACCCATGCTGCTAATCCCACCTTATACCATCGCCTCGAAAAGCTTGCTACTCAAACTGGGATCCCCACCCAGCAGCACAGGCATCTCCTAGGAGCTTGCTGGAAATGCATAATCTCAGCCCTACCCCAAACCTGCTAGAACAGATTCTTCATTTTAACAGATCCCCAAGTGATTTATATGCACACTGAAGTTTCAGAAGCAATGCTCTAGAACTTTGCCTTTAAGCAATAATCTCTCCCTAAAAAAAAAACTACCTAAAGAGTCAGTGAACTTTTCCTGCAAAGGACCTGACTGTAAATATCTTAGACATTATAGTGCAAAAGCAGTGATAGACAAATATGTAAATAAATGGGCATGCCTGTGTTCCAATAAAACTTTCTTTATAAAAAACAGGCAGCTAGCAGGATTTGGCCTGGGGAGCACAGTTTACTGACCCCTGACTACAGTACAAGGCACTGGGCCGACTTAATACCCACTGGCAATACCCACTGCTCACCATCCCACCCATAGATGTATATGGTGCGGTTGAAAAGGGACTATGCAAAGAATCAGAACAGGGGCCTAGCCCTGGCCTGACCACCCACCATAGCTACGTAACCCTGCTAAGCCTTCCTGAGTCACCATTTCCTCATCTTTTAAAAGGATGTAAGAATATCTATCCTTACATTCCTCACAGATTTGCTTTAAGGACAAAATGAGGATACGTATGAGCCAATACTTTGAAATCACTTTCTTTCTTTCTTAAGGATTCTGGTTGAAGAAAGAATCTTCAGGAAGTTGCCCACTCCTCCCTTATAAGTGGAAGGTAAGTTCAGTTTTTGTGCAAGATCAGTCACATGCTCACGAGGCTCTTAAAAACCTGTCAACTCATATTTTGATTCATACTGGACAGGCATCATAATCATTAGGATTTCACTTGGAACAAGATAAACCACTTCCCAAATCAGCATGTATCACATAATAAAGCAGACTGTTCACTGGGATTTTTGGAATTTAAAAAGAAAAAGGCAGTTTGACAGTCCTTGGAAAAGAGCATTTCCAACTGCATTCCAATTATGTTCTTCTCAGCAGACCCCCAAGACACTGCTAACCCATCAGTGAGGCACAGGAATGTTTTTTCCCTTTTTCTCTGACCACAACTATCTATTATATGACTACCTAAGTGACTGGTGGATAGCTCAATTTACTAGTGCACAGATGAATACGTTCTGGAGGCAATAGCTCCAAAATGTCTCAAGTCCAAGGACTGCATGGCTTTTGCAACATTTTAATCATCCGTCAACCCCTCTCCACAAGCACACATAATAAAGATGTGTTTAATACCATCAATTGTCTGGTTCTTGGTACCTAAAAGGAACCCATGGTCTTTTTCTTCTGCAGAGCCTGATAAAATAAAAAATGAGATGCTAAATGTGGGATCAGCTCAAGCCAGCTGTGTTTGTGGATGCTGAGCTACAGAGTTGCAATTCGGAGGCTATCCCCTGGGAATACTTGTTCTTTCTTTCACAACTGGACACAGAGGTGAAATCGATTCAAACAAAGAATCACATTACCTGCCCTGATATACACCTGATGCACCTGTTGCTGCTGCTTCTTCTTAATCCGAGAATACTGCCGCTTCAGCGCGTTGATATCTGTGGTCATGCGTTCCATCATCATACTGTTGAAAGCTGCATGGTATTCACTTCGACAGGAATTGATTGCTCCTGGACTCAGCTCGGCGATGTTATTAGACCGCAGGCTCTGCTCTTCATTCAGTTCTGCGCTCCAGGGGAGAGACATAAGGACACGGTGTCACGGAGGTTTAGAAAGGGACTAACTGAGCGCCGAGGACACTATGCCCCGGGGTAGTATCTTAATTTCCAGAGAATTCGAACCACAAAAAAAAAAAAAGTTCACTACAGTTTGCCTGGTATGTGTTTTTCTTTGACCCTGAAGAGATTTCTGCATTTTCTTATTAGCCTAACTGTGGATCTGAAATGAGCTGTGTGGGTTCACTGTTGGATTTTTTATTACCACTTTGGGCATTCTGTAGACCTAAGATCAACTGTGTCCACATAAAAGTCACTGCCGTTTTCTAAAATTCCTTAGGAAGAGAGAACCCCAGGTGTCTAAAGTCCATTTAGAGATTTGCATATAACTGTGATATATAGACTGATTATAGAGTTCAGTCAGTCATTAGAAGTGAGTTTTTCTTAGGTTAAAAATAGCAACACATTCTATAAAATCATCAAAACTTCAGATCACTAGCAATGAATGTTTGTTTTCATTTAACAAACATTTCCTGCTGTCTACTATGTGTGTTTTGCCCAATGTGGTTTCTACTCCTGTGACACCTACAACTAGTAGATTCGGCCCTTAAGTAAAATTGAGATTACATCTAAGAAGCAGAACTAGGCACTGTGTGAGAGCGTATACCCATACACCACAGGCTTTTCTAGCACAATACAGAAAAGTGGCCTGGGAACCAGCTTTTAAAAAATAATTAATGGGGGATTTCAACTATGTTAACATCTACTAAAAGTGTTATTCAGATAAAACCTAAACATCAGATAAATTTACTTCCTTTTTCACTGAAAACACTTTCTTAAGGAGAAAAAAATTAAAGGGGACCAGCTAACCTGAACTTACTTAAAACTGACCAGAAAGGCTCATGATAAAACTTAGGAGAAAGTGATCCTATCATCCTGAAGCACATAACAGCTACATAGAAAGAAAAACAGAAGGAAAAAAAAGGGGGGGGCGGGGGGACACATACCCAGACTACAGAAATGTAGATGCAAAAATTTTAGAGTTAAAATACATATTGATTTCGTGGCTAAACACCAAAAGCTGAAATTCAGGTCACAAAGAGAAAGGGTGGAGGGCATGACAAAATCAATAGGACTCTTGCTGAGTTTAGGTTTTTTAAAAGCCATTCAAAGAGATGAGAGGAGAGTACATAGCAAGGACATACACACAAAAGCACATGAGCCAAAACTACACAGCAGGCTAAAACTCAAAACGAGCGAAGGCCTGAAGAACAGACTACCACAAAACTACCACAAGCAGAAGAAAACAGCCAAACAAAAATAAACCTTCTACACACGAAGAACAAAAATGAGAAAATAGCCCCACGAATCTGGGAAGGTAGTAGGAAGCTAGCAGAGGGCAAAGAGAAGGCAGAGGGGCCGGATAGCTCCTGTCTCCGTCCTCTTTCACAAGGAGAACGGTCTTCAAACTAGAAGAGGTAGAACAAATGTCCTAAAGGAGGAACCACCACCCAAGAGAGGAAAGAACATAGTGGGAGGACCATGAACTGCTTCCAAAGAGTTCGTTCCATCGATGGTGTCCAGACCACAGGAAGTCCATTCTCCACAAGAAAAAAAAAAAAAAACAAATGTAGCATAGCATCCAATTCAAAGAGGGACACCACCAAACTGCAGGGCATTAAAAGGTGAATATACAGAATATTAAAAGTTCTGGAAGTCATATCTTTTGAAAAACTCTGACCTTGGACCATAGGGAAGGATTTGTGGGGTGTATGGCTGTTCTCAAAGATTTGATGAGACGTCCAGTAGAAGAGGGAGTAGACTTGTTCTGTTTTGTTCAAAAGAACTATTAAAAGAACTGATACGTGCAGCTTATCTCTTCACCACTAGATACCATGGGCTAAGCAGAGGGATCCAGCAAAATGTCTTATATAAGAGATAATGAGTTTCTATGGGCGCCTGGGAGGCTCAGATGGTTAAGCGTCTGCCTTTGGCTCAGGTCATGATCCCGGGGTCCTGAGATCAAGTCCCACATCGGGCTTCCTTCTCCTTGGGAGCCTGCTTCTCCCTCTGCCTCTCTCTCTCTTTCTCTCTCTGTCTCTCATGAATAAATAAAATCTTTTAAAAAAATAAAAATAAATAAATTAAATAAATAAATAAAGATAATGAGTTTCTAACCATTCAAATTCAAGTAGAGGCTATCCTAATGTTTCAGAGGACATTTCTATAGTGGAAAAGAAGCCAATCTATATCAATTAAACAGCATGTGGTAATAAGCATATATTATATGCCAGGTTCTGAGCTAAGGAACAGAGCAAACAAAGTGAAATCAGATAAAGTGGGGGCAAAACATATCAGAAAGAAAAAGGAATAGGTATGATGTATGCAATAGCGAACAGAGAGATCCTACTAAATGATAAAGTAGGGGCGCCTGGGTGGCTCAGACAGTTAAGGGACCAACTCTGGGCTTGGGCTCAGTGGGTGATCTCAGGGTCACGAGATCGAGCCCTGCCTTGAGGATTCTCTCTTTCTGCCCCTCCCCCACGTGCCTGGGGCATGCGCACGTGTGCGCAGTCTCTCAAAAATAAATAAATAAATAAATCTTCTAAAAGAAAAGATAACGTAACACAGAAGACACTTTAATAAAGACCTTTAGTACTGGTAATCAGGCCAGGAAACAGCAGGCATTTATCAGACACAATAATAACACCTTTGCTACAATGAACCAGGACATTAGGATCACCGACACAGAAAGCCGCCTCTTTACCTTTAATTTGCTTTTGGTACTTCTGCAGTTCAGGTGCCAGGAGCCCACTGAAAGGCCCAAGACACCCCACTGCATTGGCGATAGCGTCTTCATCATCTGGGTCGTTCTCCTCATCACTGTCTCTGACCTTACCATGTCGTCTTGGAAAACATACAAGAAGAAAAAAAAGTATGCAAAGAAAATAGTGGTGTTTTTTAAAAATAAATGATACAGTCGCATGGTTTAAATGACATATACATAACTTTTATATATAAGTTTACATATAACTTACATATAAAAAGTCTCCCTCCTCTCCCTGTCCAACTTCGGCCCCTGCCACCTAATTCCCAAAGGTGACCCTTGTTACTAATTTCTGATGTATTCTTCAGTTTCATTATGCATTAAGTAAGCAAATGTAACTATACCATCTTATTTTTCTCCTCTTTTCGAATAAATATTAGCATACTACATACACTCTTTCGCACCTCACATCTATTTACCTAAAAATCTCTCCATATTCACACACACAGCTTCCTCATCTTGTTTTTATCACTGCACTATATTGTATGCATGTAACCCACGTTATGGAACCAGGCCACTAACAATGCACACCTGAGTGGTTTCCACTCCCATGCTTACTATCATAAGCAATGCTGCCATAAATAACCTCATACGTACTGTGTTTTGCAGGTGTACAAATATATTTGTGGGATAAGTCATAAAGGTAGAATTGCTGGGTCAAAGGATATATGTACTAGTAATCTGGGGAAACACTGCCAAACTGCCTGCCACAAATCTTGTAATAATTAACCTCCAACCAGCAATGTGCAAGAGTGTTTCCCTATAGCCTCGTCAACAGAGTGCACATCAACCTTTTCAATTCTTATCAATCTGACAGATAAAAACACAGAGTCTCAATCTAGTTTTAAGCTACATTTCTCTTAATACAAGTGATGTTGCCTCCTTTGTAAACTACCTATTCCCATTCTCTCATCATTTTTCAATGGGGTGGTCATTTTCTTATTGCTATCTAGGAACTTTATATATGAGAGATATCGATTACAAATATTTTTTCACAAATGTTTTTGTGCCTGCTTATGGAGGTTTTGTTTTGTTCTGTTTTCAGTCATGCAGAAAATTATTTTTAAAGTACTTAACTTTTTCCCTAGTGTTTTTGAATCAGTTAAGGCCTTCCCAGTTCCAAAGACCTAAAGATATTCTTTCACATTTTCTTCTGCTAATTTTATTATTTCATTTTTTTCCATTTAAATACACTTTTTACTTTTGATTTGATATGCTAAGTTTTCAAACACTAAATTTCTATATATTTGTCAATTTCAGTCTTTACATTTTAAAGTACCTCTTTAATAGTTCTACACTATTTTAATTATTAAAATGTTTAATGTTTGATATTTTTAAGTAAGTTTCTAAATATTCCTTTAGTTTATGTTCCAATCTTTTTTGGAAAGTACAGTTTTAAAAGTCTCTCTCTTAAATTTCAATCAAAACCTTTGGGAAAGAGACATTCAGATTTTAAGTACCAAAATACTTTGAAAATCTATATCTGGGGTTTAACAAATAGGAAGTTACAATAACACATTAAAGTACTAAGTCTTCCATCATGAAAACAAGAAAAGGGCGGGGGGGAAAAAGACCTTACCCAGAAACTGAGGTGGGTTTAACTGTGGCTGGGAATGGTGTAATGTTGTAGGTATATTTTTCCCTCAACTCTGCCAATTGTGGGAAAGGGAATGGAGCCATAGAATAAACAGTCTGAAAAACAAAACCAAAAATGCCAAGTCTGAAACGGTGGCCTTAAACAACTCTTATCAATCCTGGAAAAACATTAAAGTTTTATGATTTGGATGTGAAGAGGTAGATTCTGCTCCTTACATAGCAGGTGGAGAGATTCCACCTCAATGCTTTTCACCTGCTTTAGAGAAAGACAAAAGAGTACTGATAAACGCAATGCTGAGTTCTCAAATCAATCCAGCTGTGACTGGGCATTCCAAGTGGTGCACATGGGTGGCAGGCAGATGGGGCAGTCTGACTTCCTCTGGGCCCAAGTGACAGATGGGTTAATTCAGAACTTCACAAGCTCCTATTACTTCTTTTTTTTTTCATGAGGGCCTGAACTCATGACCCCGAGATCAAGACCCGAGCTGAGATCAAGAGTCCGATGCTTAACCAACTGAGCCACCCAGGTGCCCCCTATTACTTCTTTAACAAAGTACCCATCAATGATCTTCATATGCAGTGCTTATTTTTCAAAGCTTCATTTGATGATTTTTATAGACATTTAATGTCAATTTTCTGGACAAAATTAAGTCTAGTGGATGGCTTTGTGATCAGCTGCATGCTTTCTCCAAAGATACCACCTTTTCAAATGTCTGTGAATGAGTTCTAGGTGAAAATTGTTAGCTGTTATTTTTAAAGAAAAATAAAACAAGAAAAAAGTGACAGGGTGTAAAGCATAGGCTGTTAAAAATCTATAAATAAAAATGGGAAAAGCACCTGTGCTTCCTCCAGAATTTCAAAATTATATATCACTCTATCAGCAAGAGGAAAGTAATCCTGTTTGCTCTCTTAATTTTATTAAAATTTAATTGCTCCAAACATATTTCTTCAATCCTTCAAGTACTTATTCACCAGAAAATGTATATTAATCAGTTTCATTTCTCCCAGGAAGCCATTAACCTAAAACTAACAATGTTATATGTCAACTATACCTCAATAATTAAAAAAAAAGAAACCCATACCATTTGGATTCAAATTTAAAAGATGAAATTATCAATGCTAGGAATTTCAAAACTCCTTATAGATGAAGTAAGATGTCTCACTGAAGACAGCAGGGTAACCAGCTGAAAGACTCACTTGTGTTTTATTTTTGCCAGTTTTATAAAAAGTTATCAAAATATTCCCTTGTCCAGCCTCATGAAGGAAGCCGACAAGAAAGGAATGAGAAGTCCATCCTGCCCCTACTTCATCCCATGCTGCCCCAGGGTAACTGGCCCGGGCTCCTAGAAAGCTCCTTCGAGCTTCAGACACCTGACCAAAAAGAAAACTGGCCCCACTGGTGCTTTCATTCTCTATTTTTGGTCTTTTTTCCTCTATCCTTTACTTTCAGTTAGTCATTCAGAGAAGAAATCAGTGCTTCTGAAACAAATGTGTTTATAGTACTTCTTCGCATATATTCACTCACTTATTTGAAGGTCTCACATCTGAAGGCAAGTTTATGCCAAGAATGTACATCACACATCACCACAGTCCTCAGAGTACCCGAGAAGCTATAGGTTCCCACCTTCATAAATCAGAGATTTACAACAGATTCCAAGGAAGATATGTTACAAATCACCTTAGAGCCAAATATGGTACACTAATAGAATCCTAGGTCTAGAAAGGAAATGTAAACATAATTTAGTTCAACCTCCTTCTACAGCAGAAATTCCCTCTAGAGCATCTCCAACAGATGGTCACAAAGGCACCACTTAAACACTTCCAGTTACGGGCACACATTATTTTGCAGAGCAGACGGTTACAATTTTTGACAGCACTAATTAATCAAACATGATCCTTCTATTGGACAAGCATCCACATCCTTGTAATTTCCACGCCATCACTGATGGAAAAAAGTGAACAGTCCAGGGGCGCCTGGGTGGCTCAGTTGGTTAAGTGTCCGACTCTTGGTTTCAGCTCAGATCATGACCGCAAGGTCCTGGGATCAAGCCCTGTGTCAGACTCCGTGCTCACAAGGAGTTTGTTTGGAATTCTCTCTCTCCCTCTCTTTCTGCCCCTCCCCCCACCTCTCTCTCACTCTCGTGCTTTCTCTCTCTCAAATAAATAAATAAATCTTTAAAAAAAGAAAAAAAGTGAACAGTCCAAGGGCAGATCCTACATCATGGCACTGGAGCACTCCCCTCACCCCCAGGTAACAATCATTACTGACAAGCACTTTGGTGTAGGTTTTCCCAAGCACCCACAGACCCATCTAACAACAGCACCTAATTTTTCTCTCTGTTGCCCTCAAGGAAGTCATGAGAGACTTTGTCAAACGTCTTACTGAAATCCATATACACGATTTCACCGGCATCCTCCCAATCTCTTTTCCAGACACTATCAATTTTTAAAAACCAGCCATTGCTAATAAAAAAAAAAAAAATTTTTTTTTAAAAGCGATGTGATTTACAGAAGGAAAAAAACCCAGCAGATTATTTTGTGTGTGGCACTGAGAACTGAAAGAACTGGGGAAGACCACCAGGGAGACTCCTTCCACATCTTCAGGTCGAAAATAAAGACCTTACACGCAGTCCACATTTTTCATATGGAGCCATTTCAGGTTTGCTGACGGATTTATGGTCCACCAGAATTGGATCCCAGCCACTGAATTCATTTTTTTTAAAAGAGTGAATACAGGAAAGAGGGTACCTTGAAATGACATTCACCATTTCTCTCCGTAACACCTTATGATGCCAAGGAAAACTAACAAGTCAATTTATGATCCCAACTACCAAGGTTCATTTAAATAGACATTTATGTTTAGATACTGCTGGAAAAAAATTCTGTTTCTTTTTTCATGACTGACATGCATTAGAAAAAAACATGAAAACATAAGTTGTACAAAATTAGGCTCAGTTCATCTCCACCCAGATGTTTTCCTCAGCAGAAGAAAAGCCACTAAAACGGCATCTAATCAATCAAACCACAGCCTGCATTTTTCCCTCTAGGATTCTCCTAAAGCAGGGGAATGAGGTCGTTCTCTTTTCTCCTAATTCCTAAGATTAGACATTTTTATAGGACAAAGATGGAGTATGTCAACATATCTCTCCTTTGTTCTGGCAACTTTTAAGTGAAATAAAATGTTGCTTTATTTTTCTAAAGGGGACTTCAGCCTTGAGAAAGACATGTTTTGAATAAGGTGGAAGCGGTATGCTGGGTGGTAGGGAAAAAGTAGCAGGCCGGGAGTGGAGGACTTGGCTCCCGGTCCTGGGTCCACTGCCAGACAACCTAAGGAACTGGCCACACGCTCACTCTCTGTCAAGTGAGAAGATCAGGTTAGTTGATCTTTAAGCTCCTTTTATTTTTCTTTAAAGATTTTATTTATTTATTTGAGAGAGAGAGAGCAAGAGCTGGGGGAGGGGCAGAGGGATAAGCAGGCTCCCCACTGAGCAGGGAGCCCACCACGATGCAGGGCTCCATCCCAGGACCCTGAGATCATGACCTGAGCCGAAGGCAGATGCTTAACCGACTGAACCAGCCACGTGCCCCTTTAAGCCTCTTTTAAACCACTGTTTCCGGGTGCCTGGGTGGCTCAGTCGGTTAAGCATCTGCCTTCAGCTCAGGTCATGATCCCAGGGTCCTGGGATCGAGTCCCACATCCTGGTCCCTGCTCAGCAGGGAGTCTGCTTCTCCCTCTACCCCTCCCCCCTGCTCGTGATCTCTCTCGCTCTCTCTCTAATAAATAAATAAAATCTTTTTAAAAATTTAAAAATAAAAAAAATAAACCACTGTTTCCCTAAGTGTTGTTTAAAAACCATCTGCATCAGAATCACCCATGGGCTAAATGTCTGCATTCTAACATACTCCTGAGAGGTTTCTCATACACAGTCAAGTTTGAGAACCACTGCCTCGAGTTCCAGTGTTCTATGAGTCTGTGTATTCACTAAGCAACCAGGTGTATTCTTAACAGTACTCTAGGTGTTACCAGGATACAGAGTAAAATGAGGCCCCTATCATTAAGGAACTTACCACTTCATTAGAGAAATAAGATTAACATATTTTAAAAAATACCAACAAATGTAAAATCATCTCTAATTAGCATCGAGTCAGTTGTTGAAACTCTTACGTGCTGAAGGAACACCGAGGCGGCCTCGTTGGTGAGAGCTGAGACAAGAGAGGCTGTGTGGGGGTGGGGGAGAGAAGGGAGTGAGCGGGGCCCAGGTGGGCACATAGCTTTGCACAGAGAGAGTGTCAGAGGGGCCCACAAGCCCAGGCACGAGCACAGATGGCCGGGTGGGAAGAGAGCTCTGACCAGTGCAGAAGGTTCCGGCCACAAAGTAGTGGGAACACCTTGCACAGGTAAGGCACAGGGCAGCCAGAATGGAGTCTTCCTCCCCCCATACCCTTCTGCTCGCCTTCCTAAGCCAGAGGCTTGTCGGTTGCCTTTGTCTCCCCATTTCTTTCTCCCTCACCCTGTATCCATTTTCCATGGCCAAGTCCTATCGACTTCGCCATCTAAGTATCATCTCTGCTCCATCCTTGTTTCTACCCATCACTGCCTCTCACGGGCTCCTGCTATCAGACTTGACCCCTTCAGGTCCACCCTTCACAGAGCTGCCCCTGCCTGCATCTGACAGAAGCCACAACTCAGACTACTTTCCTCCTCTCCTTAGGACCTTTCAGGTCTTCTTTTTTCCCTTTCCAAAGCCTCCACAGAATCCCTAGAATTCCAGCAAGCACGATTTCACAACCACTGACCTAAAAGGGCAAGTCCAATCCTTACCACAGGCTGTGGTCTTCCATACCCACCCCGAATACCAAGCTCCTTGTAGTTTCCTTCACACACCGCAAAGTTTACCACTGGCTATGCCTTTGCTCATGCCACTCCCTCAACCGTGAATCCCCTTCCTGCTCTACGCCACTGCCTCTCACACGCACACGATTTCACATGTGCAGGCACCACACACACACCCACACACACGATCTCATGTGTGAAGGCACCACACACACACACACACACACACAACCTCATGTGTGCAGGCACCACACACACACACAATCTCACGTGTGCAGGCAGCCCCACACACACAGACACACGATCTCACATGTGCAGGCACCCCCTCACACACACACACACACAATCTCACGTGTGCAGGCACCACACACACACCAACACACACACGATCTCATGTGTGCAGGCACCACACACACACACACACACACGACCTCACATGTGCAGGCACCACACACACACACACGCACACACACACGACCTCACATGTGCAGGCACCACACACACACACACACGATCTCACGTGTGCAGGCACCACACACACACACACACACACATGATCTCACATGTGCAGGCACCACACACACACACACGAGCTCACGTGTGCAGGCACCACACACACACCCACACAAGCTCACGTGTGCAGGCACCACACACACCCACACACACACAATCTCACGTGTGCAGGCACCACACACACAATCTCACGTGTGCAGGCACCCCCACACACACAGACACACGATCTCACATGTGCAGGCACCCACACACACACAACCTCACGTGTGCAGGCACCCACACACGATCTCACGTGTGCAGGCACCACACACACACACACACACGACCTCACGTGTGCAGGCACCACACACACGATCTCACGTGTGCAGGTACCACACACACACACACACGACCTCACGTGTGCAGGCACCACACACACACACGCGCGCACACACACACACGACCTCACGTGTGCAGGCAGCCCCCCCACACACACACGATCTCATGTGTGCTGGCACCACACACACACACACACACAATCTCACGTGTGCAGGCACCACACACACACACACACACACGATCTCACGTGTGCAGGCAGCCCCCCCACACACACACGATCTCACCGTGTGCAGGCACCACACACACACACACGATCTCATGTGTGAAGGCACCACACACACACACACACACGACCTCACGTGTGCAGGCACCACACACACACACAATTTCACGTGTGCAGGCACCCCCCCACACACAGACACACGATCTCACGTGTGCAGGCACCACACACATGTACACACGATCTCACGTGTGCAGGCACCACACACACACACACACGCTCTCACGTGTGCAGGCACCACACACACACGCTCTCACGTGTGCAGGCACCACACACACACCCACACACACATGATCTCACGTGTGCAGGCACCACACACACACACAATCTCACGTGTGCAGGCACCCCCACTCACACAGACACACGACCTCACGTGTGCAGGCACCCCCTCACACACACACACACACGAGCTCACGTGTGCAGGCACCACACACACACACGACCTCACGTGTGCAGGCACCACACACACACCCACACGAGCTCACGTGTGCAGGCACCACACACACACCCACACACACACACTCTCACGTGTGCAGGCACCACACACACACCCACACACACATGATCTCACGTGTGCAGGCAACACACAATCTCACGTGTGCAGGCACCACACACACCCACACACACATGATCTCACATGTGCAGGCACCACACACACACTCACACACGAGCTCACGTGTGCAGGCACCCCACACACACCCACACACACATGATATCACGTGTGCAGGCACCACACACGCACACGACCTCACGTGTGCAGCCACCACACGCACGCACGCACACACACGATCTCACGTGTGCAGGCACCACACACACACGACCTCACGTGTACAGGCACCACACACACACACACACACACGATCTCACGTGTGCAGGCACCACACACACACGCACGCACACACACGATCTCACGTGTGCAGGCACCACACACACACACACACACGACCTCACGTGTGCAGGCACCACACACACACCCACACACACGACCTCACGTGTGCAGGCACCACACACACACACAACCTCACGTGTGCAGGCACCACACACACACCCACACACACGACCTCACGTGTGCAGGCACCCCCTCACACATGCACACACGATCTCACGTGTGCAGGCACCACACACACACACACGATCTCACGTGTGCAGGAACCCCCACACATACACACACATACACAGAGCCGGACCAACGCCATCCTTGAAGGTAAAACCAATCATTATCTTCCTCAAGGAAGTCTTCTGACAGATACAAATGCTCAAAAATATTTGGAGACGTTAATATAGGGCCTAGAAAACTAGGCTGAAGCATTTTATTTACTGCAGTTAATAACAAGAAATCATTGAAGGCGTTACGAAGAACCACGAAATGACCCAAGCAGTGTGGACGATCACTCTGGCAGCAAAATGCCAATTGTATTAGAGCAGAGAGAATCTAGAAGGAGGGCCACCAACTGTGAGTGTTATTTAATTCAGCAAACATTTATTGAAAGAGAGAAGGCAGGAAACTAATAGCAGACTCTCAACAGGTATTTGCTTAATGAAAAGTAATAAATTTATTGAGCAGCTCTGATAAAAGGCAAAGTGCTAAGTGTTTATAAGCAAACCACAGTCCCTGTCCTCAAGGAGCTTAAAAATATCACTAAGGAAATAAGATGGTCTTCAATTAAGGTAGAATGTGATGGGGGCACCTGGGTGGCTCAGTCGTTAAGCGTCTGCCTTAGGCTCAGGTCATGATCCCAGCGTCCTGGGATCGAGCCCCGCATTGGGCTCCCTGCTCAGCCAGAAGCCTGCTTCTCCTTCTCCCTCTCCCCTGCTTGTGTTCCCTCTCTCGCTTTGTCTCTCTCTGTCAAATAAATAAATAAAATCTTTAAAAAAAAAAAAAAAGGTAGAATGTGATAAATGCTCACGAGAGACGTATAAAGAAAGTGCCATGGTGATTCAGAGAAATGGGAGATGATTTTCGTTGAGACTCTCAGAGAATGTTCCACAAAGGAGATGGCATCTGAACTGGAACTCTTCAGGAGGAGGCAGGCCTTGAACATGTGGAGGTAGAAGGGAAAGACTGAGCAGAGGGGTCACAGGGACAGAGGAGGCATATTCCCAGGGATTTCTGGGAGCACGGAAGACAGCTTGACCTGACTAGAATAAGTCAAGGGTACAAAACGGAGCAGCTATGGCTGAAAAGACAGGTTAACGCCAGACAGTCAAGAGCACTGGATGCTAAGCTGAGAAATCCATGCTTCATTTTGTAGGCAGTACGTGGAGGTAGCCACTGAAGTTTCATGAGGGAGGGAGAAGGGACGGTATCCCAAAGTCCTGCCTTGGGCATACGATTCAGGCAGTTCTGCAGGACATAGAAGACCCCATACGTGGAAAATGCCAAGCATGGACCTCGCACCCAGAGCCCTGTTCAATAAAAGGTACCTCACTCTGAGAGAGAATGAGCGATGATGCAGCAATGACCCCGGGACATGTGAGAAGAGTCGGGATCAGAGCATCGACATCAGCATCAGACAGACCCCTTCCTCCTCTAAGACAGGAAAGAAGGAAGAAGAGATGAGAATGCAAAGAAAAGCTGAAATAAAAAACACAAATGCTTAGGGAAGTTCTATCGGGTGGTCAACATTCTCAACAAGTCAGGTAGCTGTCTGCTAAAAATCAGGGATTCCGACAAGGAGCCGGAGACGCCAGGAAACGAACAGAGGAGTAGAAACTCCCCACTTCTCACGCCCTAAGTCAGGGTGGGTCTGAGCCTTTGTTTTCCAACCTGTTGACTGGGCCCGGCACCCAAACATGATCTCACACATGGAACCCAACATAAGGGTAAAAACTGAAACCCAGATAAAGGAGAGAGAAACCACAGAGAAAGAAGGAAACAAGGCCCAAGGACAGCGTTGGACAAGACCCACAGTGGGCAAGGGGAACAACCGGCAAAGGAATCAGGAGCATCAGAGGAAAATAAGGGTAAAATTATATTACAGAACCTAACAGAAGAGACAATGTTAACAAATTTGCTGTCTTTTCTATACTATCAATTTTAACGCCTTCGTGAATACGATATTGAGATATAATAACATGCCAGAAAATAACAAAATCCTTCAACTCTTCCCCATTAAAACTTACTACTAGTACATAGATCCCAGGGTACTGGGATCGAGCCCTTCGCCGGGCTCCCTGCTCCCTGCTCCCCACTCCCTCTACACCACACCCCCACCCCACCGTGCTCGCTCTCTCCACCTCTCAAATAAATAAATAAAATCTTTTAAAAAAATACACAGTAACAGGAGTAGAAAATATGGGTAAAACAAACCAAAATGCTGATTAGAATAATCTCCTTTTGGGCGCCTGGGTGGCTCAGTTGGTTAAGCGACTGCCTTCGGTTCAGGTCATGATCCTGAAGTCCCAGGATCAGGTCCCCACATCAGGCTCCCTGCTCAGCAGGGAGTCTGCTTCTCCCTCTGACCCTCCCCTCTCTCTCTCTCTCAAATAAATAAATTAAATTAAATTAAAAGAATAAGCTCCTTTTTATCCTCAATTTCTCCCCCAAAATATTTATGTTGCCCCACAAGTCTCCCTTTAAAAGGTTAAAAATCAGATTCAGGGGTGCCTGAGTTGCTCAGTCAGCTGAGCATCTGACTCTTGATTTCAGCTCAGGTCATGACCTCAGGGTCCTGCGATCAAGTCCCCCATCATGGCAGGCTCTCTGCTCAGTGGGGAGTCTGTTTGAGGATTCTCTCCCTCTGCCCCTCCCGTGCTCACACACTCTCTCTCTTTCTCTCAAAGAAATAAATAAATCTAAAAAAAAATCAGATTCAAAAGTTTTGGGGGATTTTTGGAGGTTGGACTTTAAAGCAACACAGCTTGAATGGAAGCATAACAAATATCCATTATTCATTTCTTCCTTCCTCTTGTGACATAGATTCTGACCAAATTATATATAGACTTGTGGTCAAGTGAACAACTAAATCTGAGGGCTGGCCAAACATATCTCCCCAGGTTCCCTGAGGTGGGGCCATGCTGCCCACTCACCTGCATGAGTTCGTGGCTTTCCAGAAGGTCATTCTCTAGCATCTCCTGGGTAAGGCGCCCCATGGTGCTATAGAATTCATCTGCTGTCTCACAGCATTCTATCTGCCTAGGTAAAGAAAGGACAGAAGAAGAAAATGTTTAGGACCCCCATGCTGTTTATCAGGTATATATTGCAGGTGCAAAAGGATGTGTCGCCTCTTGCCATCAAAGTTAGCAATCAATCAACAAAAATCAAGTTAGCAATCAACAAAAATCACAATCCTAGGCACTTGCCTATGGCTTGGTCATAGTTTGCATGTCCTGGCTTGCAATTCTCTGCTATTCCCAAATAAACCCATTTTTGCTGATTTTTTTTAAAAATCACAATCCTGGTACACAGTCTGCAAAAAAACACCAAAGGCAGCTTAGAGGTACTTATTACAGGTGAGTTCCTATCTTTCCTATCTGCTCACCAGCCTCACAGCCCCACCTGTGGCATCTTTATTATTTTCCTGTGACACAGTCTACATCTCAGAATGCCCACCACCGATCAGAACTAACAACTAACAAAATTGGGTACTGAAGAACAATCACCCCCTGTAAGGAATCTGGGGCTCTTCATCTGCAAAATGGTGATATCATTGATAGACTGAAACCAAACCACACAGGTGAAAGATGAGAAATACAACAACAAGAACTTTTCTGCCTATTTCATCATTCACAGGATGCTTTCACAGACAGAAATGTTTCAGTTCTTCTCCGGGCACCAAAGCCAGCTGGAAATTACACCCTGCTTCTTGCATTTGGTTCTACATGTAAATAAAGAAATCTGTCACCTGGCAACCTATAAGGCAGGTTAGACTTTCACCCTTCATCTAGAAGGGGAAAAAAAGGAATAGTCTAAAGCAAAGAGCACCGTGGGCAGCTCTTCCCACCCACGGGTCCTGTCCCCGTGTTTTAATAAAACAGCCCTTCTGGCACAGAAAAACAAACAAATAAGTAAATAAATATGTATTTGAAAATAAAGCAAAAGTACTGTGTGTTTGTATTCTCTATTACAAAGTTCTTTGTACAGTAGGATAATTATGCCCACCAACCATAAGACATACACTTTGACATACAGTAATGTCAGGGAATTTCCATGGGGCCATCCAAAAGAAACATGATGATGGAAAAACTTCCGTTTCTGGAGTGCTCTTCAATCCCACTGCCATTAAATGAAATAGACTGTTGAAGTGTTATTACAAAACTAGAGAGTGGCATGTGGGCATAATTGAAAAAGTGGTTAAGTTTACCCTGAAGGGTGAGGAAGGGAAATAATGCTTCAGATGAGTTCTGAAAAATATTCTCCAGGCTGACAAAGGAAGAAAAAACTTTCCAAAGACGTGGATGCAGGAGACGGCAGGCCCTTTCCAGGTCCTGCATGGAGCTCCACGCAAACAAAGGTGGCCAGGAGGCCCGCATGGCCAGAGGGCGACGGCAAGAGGGAGGGTACATACAGAACTGCAGACAGCAGAGGGCACGTGCCTGCTGAGCCTCTTCGGGGCAAGAGTCACTGAAAGGCACTTCCCAGGGAGTGTGGGAACAGATGTGCCCTCGGCAAGGTTAGCTGGAGGTCCCGTGGCAAGTGTAGGGTATGACAGGGAGACCAGGGAGGAAACACCTCGCTGGCCAGGATGCCACGTGAGGGAGCAAGGCAACGCAGAGCGTCAGAGGAGAAAGGATACAGGAGAGACGCCAGGGAAAGTGCGCCAAGAGGCCCCAGCTTACATATTCCCAAAGCACCCGTGGTGTGAGAAGAAGAAATGCCAAGTTGCAGGAGTAAGGGGAATGGAGAGGTCCCATGGATCTGTTGTTCATGATTTTTCCAGTGGAAAGTTTGTGGGGGAGGGATACAGACACTGGAGTCAGAAAGATTAAGTCCCAAGCTCTGCGACTAATGAGCTATGTGACCATGAGCTAGTCAATTCACCCTCCTGGGGTAGCTTTCGCACTGGGAAGGGCAGGAGAAGAATCCTGCCTACTTCCCAGGGTTATGCGGAGAACCGAATGAGATCATGTGTTTAAGCTGCCTGACATAATGATGGCACTGTAGGCTCTTGGGTGACCTGTGTTGGCTGCCCTTTCTTTCGCGTAACAAGTGGCATGCTCAAAACACGTAGAAGTGTAGTGAGCAAAGACGCTGAAACATTTAAAGTCCCACCAGTGTGATTCCTATATCCCCTGAACTTCATAAACAATACCTGTTTAGTATCAGTAGATTCACATTACTAAAAGTGCAGATTCTAGGGGCACCTGGCTGGCTCAGTCAGTGGTAGAGCGCGTGACTCTGGATCTTGGGGTTGTGGGTTTGAGCCCCACATTAGTTGTAAAGACTACTTAAAAATAAAATCTTAGGGCGCCTGGGTGGCTCAGTTGGTTAAGCGACTGCCTTCGGCTCAGGTCATGATCCTGGAGTCCCGGGATCGAGTCCCACATTGGGCTCCCTGCTCAGCGGGGAGTCTGCTTCTCCCTCTGACCCTCCCCCCTCTCATGCTCTCTCTCATTCTCTCTCTCAAATAAATAAATAAAATCTTTAAAAAATATATTAAAAAAAAAATAAAATCTTAAATAAGAAAAAAAGTGCAGATCCTAGAGCTAGGATATCTGAATTCAAAATCAGGCCCTTCCACTTACTGGGTGACCTTGGGCAATTCACTTAACTTCTCTGTGGCTCAGTTCCCACATCTGTAAAATGGGGGTGAGAACAATACCTACCTCATAAAATGATGGCGAGGACTAAATGAGTTAGTTTCACATCTAGAGTGCTTAGAGCAATGCTGGTCCACAGTGTGACATCCCTGGGAGGACTAGACAAATAAATTCTGATCCTACACATAATGGATAGGGGGGAGTAAAACCAGAATCTCTTCTTTTCCTCCTGCCCCATAACTAAGAACTAGCACAAAGGTGACTGAAACGGACTCAGCACAAAGTGCTACACTATTTTAACCCCATAAACTAGTTACCCAGTAACTAGCCTATCCCACCCACAGACACTATCAAAGTTCAAAGAGCTTCAGGCATAGAGTAGGTTGGAAATGTAGAACTGCAGAAAGATCTCGTTATGGGGGGAGGGGGGGAATGAAAAGATAAGTAAACAGCGTGCCAAATCCCCAGTAGACTCATTTATTTGCCCAGCTCAAAAACAGTGTACCATAAAACAAAAGCAAAGGAGATAGCTATGTGATGTTTCAAAATATTTATACACAATAATGATCTTTCTAAATCCCTGAATTGATAGTTGGTGGATCTTTCTTGCAAAAAAGTATGAAATACTGCAAGTCTCCAGGAAACAACTTATCATAAATAAAAAGACTAGTTAAAAGGTTTTTGAAACAAAATACTGTCAGTGATTTATTAGTTTTCTGACATGTTGTCTATGAGTATCCACTCAAGTCATTTATAGCTCTAGGAAAGAAACATTAAAAACTTCTCTGCCTCTTAACTATAAAAATTTCATCCTAATGTCCCTTCCATTACCCAGAAGGTAGAATTTTAACATAATAGTCATAATATATTAGAGATGGGTGAAAATATCCTCCTTTTTACAGTCCTGCTACTGGTAACAAATGTAAGTAACATCTATGTGGTAATATGTGTGGTAGTAACAGATTTCATCACAGAATTAATGCTTGATGAAAGGAAAGAAGTTCCATGTGTTCTACTATTTTTTTTAAGTAGGATCCACACCCGAAGTGGGGCTTGAACTCACGACCCTGAGATCAAGAGTCGCATGCTCTACCAACTGAGCCAACCAGGTGCCCTCTGTGTGTTCTACTCTGGACTATGTACTAAGCACCACAGAGATACCTTATACATATTATCTCATTTAATTTTATCATGACCCTGAAGGACAGAACTAAATAAATACTAAGGATTCAAAAATCATCCAAATTGTGAATGTTATAATCAACAAACACAGCTACTCCTCTCCGACCTTCCTCTTCTATCTCGTTCCTCGCCCTCCCCATCTTCCCAACTAGAGACTGGGGAGAGGCTGCAGAGTAAACCAGCCAGAACACTAGCACTGAGGAGGAGGAGATCTACAGACCTGGAAAAGCCTGCCCCCTTCCCCAACATAGATTCTATTTGCCCCCCAACAATCAAGAATCAGCCAACTAAGATTTCAGAAGGCTAAAGCAATTCAACTATTTCCCAACTTTCTCTATTGCTCCTACTTAAATATAGATGCTTTTCACATTAGAGCACAAAATTGCTTAAGGCCCTCCACACCACGGAACAGAACAAAATGGGGAAATCACTTACTCTCCTAATTTTGCCCAGATGGCCAGCGACACTCTCAAGATGATTTCTGAACCTTCAAAGAAGACTGAATCCCAGATCTTTAAGACTGTATGGTTAGGGAGGCATGTAGCAAAGAGAGTCAGAAACCACTGCATCGTGAAGACATTCGTAAGTGGGGGCTCGTATCCACCTGAAATAAAACAAACACTCTGTGTTTCTTCAGAATAGATGCTTTGCAAGATATAAAATAGCTTTGTTCAATCATCCATGTCCACCAAATATGTTACATTTCCTGGCTGATTTCTTTAGATCTCTAAATTCTGGTTCTTTCCTCCTTTTTCTCTTTCCTCTTTTTGGAAGAACATAGGTGTGTTTGATTAAAGAAAATCTCAATAAGGGATTTTCACAAATTCTTTATACGATAGTTCAGAAATCTTTTTTTTAAAGATCTTATTTGACAGAGAGAGAGAGAGCGCGCACGCACAACCAAGGGGAGCAGCAGGCAGAGGGAGAGGGAGAAGCAGGGAGCCCAGCCTGGGGCTCGATCCCAGGACCCTGAGATCATGACCTGAGCCAAAGGCAGATGTTTAACTCACTGAGCCACCCAGGCACCCTGATATTGCAGATATCTTAACCTAAAACTTAATTTGTCTCTACCTATTGTGGGGTGCTGAAAATTAAAGAGAATGTTCTCCTCACCAAAAACAGGATAAAAAGAAAGGATTTTAGCCTCTTAAAAGCAGAATCCAATTTTCAAAACCTCCTAAAGTCCACTTTTATTCAAATGCTGATGATAAAACATTGCTCATTACTTGTCTACTTCTTAAATTATGCCCAGCTCTCAGACCACAGTGGAATTAAACTAGAAATCATAACAGAAAGAGAGCTGGAAAAGCCTAAGGTATTTGGAGATTAAACAACATGAAATTTTAAAATATTGTGAACTAAACTACACACACAGCTCACACTGAAGTTTCTGAGTTCGCCAAAAACACAGAGCTCCCTCCTACTTCCCCTGATGGCATTAGCTATGTATTTTATGAAACATAAAAATGTAGATATTTAAACTGATCCTCCCTCTGAATTAGACTACGCATTTACCCAAGGATAAGCCAAAAGGGCTCTATTCTCCTGCACTCATTTTCTCTCTTCTTCCTCAAGAACAAAGGAGCATCATTGTTCAGAGACTTAGAATCTGAGGGCAGTGCTTATGGGCAAGTGCAGGACATTTGGAGGAAAAAGTGGAGCCCGGGAAAGCATGTCTGACATGGGACAGGCAGTGTATCTGGACGCATTATGAAATCCCCACAGGTGCACAATGACACTGCGCAACCAAAGTAAAGGAGATTCAAATGGCTGAGAAGGAAATGCTGACAGACACCCAGGCGTCACTAAAATTTCCAGGGTCTTATAATTACCGATTAGGTCCTCACATCCTTTCATATTTTCCCAGATTTAAATGCATGGGTGGGGAACTGGCAACCATTTACAGGAAACACACCAGACTTCATTATTCTTCCTGGTACCCTGCACCTAGCCAGGCAAGTGCAGGCAGTGGGTACAACCACAGCCGTGAGCTCGGGCGCTTCAGCAGGCTGGGCGATGCCCACCAGAAAGCAGCGACTTGGGGCCGCTTGCAGAGCAGAGTCTCCATCCCTGCCTCAACCCAGGGCTCCGAAGCTACCTGGAGGTCCTGGGGAGCCCTTCTCCAGAAAGAGCTGAGCCATCCGTCTCCAGTAAATCTAAATACCCTTACCATGGATAGATAAAAGGAGCACTGAACATTTTAATCCGAAAGACTGTTGGTTTATCTCCTAGAACTTAAGGAAGATGTGTATTCCTCTCTCCACAGGCTCCATGGTTCAGGGAAAACCACAGTCTGTGCGAAATTTTACTGTTGCTCAGCTTTAAAGAACTCCTGTGGGTTGGTACCAGCTGAGAGCAGTTTAACTAGATGGTAAGACATGGATTCCACTCTTCATCCAGAGTGCACTATATCATTTTAGGTGTCAATCCGGGACTGGTAAAGTATTCGGTTCTTGATGGACTTCCCAACCAGGACCACTCGGAGGTTCAACATGTGGCCCTATGATGTTTTTCAGTTGTGTTTTTGTTCTCTAACCACCTATTTCATTGCACCAAATGCTCATTAACAGAAATACCTGAAAACAAGTATTTCCGCTCAAGGTTTAGGCTCAGGTGTACTGTGGAATCAGGGAAGTAAAATATTTTCAAAGGTGTAACAGCACTGAGTCATCACTACCTCCACTTTCCTTGTTTGCAGTTCTCTGAAGAGTATCCAGGTGCTGAGATAATTCGGGGAGCTTCAGTCTCAAGAGATCTCTGAAGACAGCCATATCCACAGACAAAGCCCGGAGATTATTGACAAAATAGCTTTCAGGGAGTACCTTATCAATAAGGTAAATCATAATCTGAAGAAAAAGATAAAGAGTAAGATTGCTTCCTAAAAACTGGGATCCCCACATGTCCTAAATAGAAGGAACATATTCAAAAATGCAGTTAGCCAAAGCACACCATCCTTCCAATGTGTCAGTACCGAATGTTCTGGACTTTCAAGGCTCATCTCCATGCCAGGTAAGGAGTGAGTGGCATAATTATTAAAGTAACTCAGACCCATAGTCCACTGCTGTCTAAAGTTTCTAGATGGGCCACTAGATCTGAGTTCAGCCCCTAAGGAGCTGTGCTGGCAAACCCTCAGCCTCACTCAGAAGTGATGAAGCACATGCCCCATCAGCAGCCAGCGGGAATCCTAACACTGGCTCCCTGACATCAGCAGTTTCACAACCTTCTTATGAAAACCAAGAGCTGAACCATTATAAACCCCCCCAACGAAAGCAAGTCTCGAGATGCACTTAGAATAACCCAGTTAATAGAACTGGGAGCGGCTTTTGATCCACTTTCCTCTCCCAGGTGAATGCAACAAGGGTTTTGTTTGAACACATGGTACTTTCAAAATCTGGCTTTCTTTCGTAAGATTGTCTCACAAGTTCTTCAAATTACTACTTTCATTCTTACTTTTTAAATTTGTGTTACCTTTGCTAAGAGGTCAAGAACCACAAGAATGACCCAGCAAAACACAAGAGTTCTATATGTCAATCTCTGGTCCTTCCCCTGTCAGCTCATATGCTCTGCTGTGTTCCTCCCTCCCTAGAAGACCACTCCCTCCCCAGAGCACAGGAAAAACAAAATTAAGAATAAAATCATAGCTGGCCCTATATGATGGTCTCACATTTTAATTTTCAGTCTAACACAAAACTCTATTTTCCAAGAAAATTATCTCCCAGACCTGACAAGGGCCCATCTTTCCCTCATCTCTGGCTTGTAATTTCTACTTTTTAGGGCCATTGTTTTGACTAAGTCAATAAGGGCTGGGCCGTACTCTTGAGAGGGTCCCTCTGAGACCTTTATTACAAGACTTGGCAGGTGGAGCTTAGCAATAAAAGGAGTACAGTATATTCCATCTGTGTGGAGAAAGGAGGTCCTGAGTGTAATGTTAGGTATGTCACTCCACCCACTAATATATTTTGAAGACCACACATTAGATCTTAAAAAAAAAAAAAAGTTAGGATAAATAATGGCAATAGAGTAAAAATAGTCTCTTCAACAAATGGTGCTGGAACAATTGGACATCCACATGCCAAAAAATAAATCTAGACACAAACCTTACACCTTTCACACACACAAAAAAAAAATTCACTCAAAAGAGATCGCAGACCTAAATGTAAAGTGCAAAACTGTAAATCTCTCAGAAGGCAACAAAGCCTAGATGACCCTGGGAATGGTGATGACTTCTTAGATGCAACAGCAAGGATACAATCCATGAAAGAAATCACTGGTAAGCTAGACTTCAAAATTAAAAACTTTGGTTTTGTGAAAGACAATGTCAAGGGAATGAGAGGGCAAGCCACAGACTGGGAGAAAATATTTGTGAAAGACATAGCTGATAAAAGACTGTTATCCAAAATACACAAAGAATTCTTAAAACTCAAGGTAAAATAATGTGACTAAAAATGGGCCAAACACTTTAACAGGTACTTGGCCAAAGATGTATTCAGATGGGATATAAGTATATGAAAAGATCCTTCACATCATATGTCATCAGGGAAATTCAAATTAAAATGAGATACCACAGCACACAACTATTAGAATGGCCAAAATCTGGAATGTTCACAACCCCAAAAGCTGACAAGGATGTGGAGCAACAGGAACTCTTACACATTGTTGGGGGGAATGCAAAACTGTACAGCCACTATGGAAGACAGTTTGGTGGTTTCTTACAAAACTAAATATACTCTTACCATATCAACCAGCGATCACACTCATTGGTATTTACCCAAAGAAGCTGAAAACTCACGTCCACACAAAAACCTGTGCACAGATGTTCATAGCAGCTTTATTCATATTTGCCAAAACTTGGAAGCAACAGAGATGTCCCTCGGTAGGTGAATGGATAAACAAACTATGCACATCCAGACAATGGAGTATTATTCAGCACTAAAAATAAATGAGCCACCAAGCCATGAAAAGACAGGAAGGAACCTTAAATGCATACTACAAAGTGAAAGAAGCCAATCTGAAAAGGCTACATACTGTATGATTCCAACCATTATGTGACATTCTGGATAGGGCAAGACTGTAGAGATGGCAAAAAGGTCAGTGTTTGCCAGGGTGGAAGGGCAGGGGGGATGACCAGGCAGAGCACAGAGGATTGTTAGGGTAGTAAACACACTCTGTATGAATATTATAACGATAAAGACATGTCACTAAACATTTGTCTAACCCATAGAATGTACAACACCAAGGGTGAATCCTAATGTAAACTATGCACTTTAGGTGATTACGACATGTTGATATAGGTTCATGGAATGTAACAAATGTACCTTTAGTGGGGGATGTTGATAGTGGGGGAAGCTGTACATGTGTGGGGGCAGGAGGCATATGGAAAATCTCTGTACCTTCCTCCTCTCAATTTTGCTGTGAACCTGAAACTGCTCTAAAAAAAATTATGTATTTTTTTTAAAAGTAAATAATGGAGCCTCAATGTTTTAACAAATAGTTAAAAACAGTTACTAAGAAAAAAACAATAAGTGCTGAAAAGCACACAAAATGGTTTACTTACTTCTCAAATTATATATTTGCCTAATATTTAAAACTTGCAGGAGGAAAAACAGCTGCTGAAAAACATTGACCCCCGATATTTTCCTTTGCATCTGAAGTGATTCTTCATGAATCCAATTTTCCTCTGCATATTCAATGTCTAACCAAAAGACTCCAAAATGACGATGATGTCATTTCATTTCAGAGAGTTCATTTTCTTAGAAGCAGAATATAAATATTCAGTTCCTCAGCTTTATCTCATCTATCTTTTTTATGTGAATTTTTAGTTTCTCAGGGGTTTCTTTCATGATTTGATTGGCATGTATGTCCCCTCCCCCAGATCTCTCCACCTCACTCCTAACCCGAATTGCTTATTCCAACTTCTCAACAGTTCTCATTTTATAGTCACAGAAATTACATCTGAAAAGAATAAATCGACTAAAGCTGATAGACTGAGTAAAAAAAAGGCTTAATAAAAAGTGTTTTAAACTCATATATGTCCCCTCCCCCACTTTATTTGATGAACAAGTAGTTTCAGAACTGTTTTCCTTAAGTACAGGAATGGAAGAAAGGAAAGGGTGAATACAGATTTAGACTAGGTCAGGCTGGGTTTATAATTAATTCCACCATGATGCACATGAAACCAGGAGGAACATTTGTTTTCCCGTATGACATTAGTCAGTGACTGGGACTATCACTAAGGTATTTACCACAATCAAACATAAGGCTGGGGTTGGGGGAGGCTCTTGAATACCAATCAATACCATCCCACCCATCACAAAGCATTGCAACCAACAGCAGTTTGAGGGTTCAAATATGAATTAGCAACCCCATATTGCCCCAAACTCATAAGGAAGTAGCCATCCTGTGCATGTGAAATGCTTCATTTCTCATAAAGATTATTTCTGGTGACTCACGGACTCACATTCCAATTTATAAGCTTAAATTGCTTGTAACCCATCTCAAAGTGTTTCCAGAATGTTTTTACTAATAAAGCTTCTAGGCATCGAAGATTAAAAGATAATAAAATATAATTCACTTCCATAACCTTTCTCCATGCAAATACCTTCCATCATATACATGCACTCTCAGCTTACCTCCTCCATACCTCCCCCCGTCTATGAATAGTAAAGCAACCCAGTAAGAAGATCCAACCAGAATTAAACATAACTTGTGGAGTAGGCAGCTTCTAACAGGACACCCTGTGACTTCCGCCTCTTGGTAGTCATATCCTTATACAAGCCCTTCCCCTTGAGTAAGAGCTGGACCTAGTGACTGGCTTCTAATGAACAGAATATGGCAAAAATGATGGAATGTAACTTCTGATTAGGTCACAAATCTGCAACTTAATCTCTCCTACCTTGCTCACTCTCTTTTACTCTCTTACTCACTCTGAGGGATGCCAGCCACCTTGTAAGATGGAGACATGGCAAAGAACTAAAAAAGGTCTCCAGCCAACAGCCAGCCAGGAACTTAGGTCCTTGGTCCGGCCACGTGTGAGGAATTAAGTCTTGCCAACAACCACATGAACTTGGAAGTGAATGCTGTCCCCAACTGAGCCTTCAGATGAGGCTGCAGACCCAGCCAACAGTTTGGGTGCCACAACGATAGGATTTTGAGCCAGCTAAGGTGCACCCAGATTCCTGACTCAAAGAAACTGTGAGGTAAACCATGTTTGCTATTTTAAGTAGCTAATTCGTTACAAGCCATGCATAATTAACACAATTAGTATTCAACTTGCTTTAAAAATGTGATGCTTTATAAATGGGGCCAAAAACATAATCATTCTCCTCACATCTGGCAGCTACATGAGTCCGTCACTTGACCTGGCTTTAACGTGGGGGAAATGCTGATTCTGGGTCATTACAAAGGTGCAGCAAACACCTTGGAAGGGGGTGGGACATCAAGAAAGAGGAATTACAGTTCAGGTATTTCACTCTCAGAAGAATTTCAACTGCTCTCTTCAGAGCCTCATACTCACTTTCAGTGCATCCCCTTCATTGCCTTCCACTACTTCCAGAATTAGAGCGGCCAGGATGTTAAAGCCTTGGCAGTACCCAACATTCTTGTTCCATCGGGCATAGGCCAACAGGACCCGTTTTAACACAACCCTGTCCTGCTCAGCCTCCTGGCCACAGTAAGAACTGCAGCCCGTGCGGTGAAGGTCCTGAAGAAGGCAAACAATATTTTTTTTTAAATGGTTCCTTATATTCTCTCCAAAAAATGACTTTAATTATAACTCTGCCTCAGCATTAAACAGAATCAGATTATCAGCATGGATTTTAGTTTTTAAAAATGTTTATGTACTCTATACACATGGGCGAAAACAATTTTTTGAATTTTCTTTTTCCTAATGTTTTCTAATTTGCTAAGATACATTTTTTTTTCCAGTTTTATTGAGATTAGTGGACTTGAACATTGTCAAGGGGAATTTCAGTCAGGCAAATTTTCTAAACTTCTTTATAATTTTCTGTTAAAATTTAAAGTGTTTCCAGAATACAAAAATGACTCAGAATTAACAAAAATTACATTATAGTTCTATATAAATTGACAGTTTAATACTATGTCTCAGATAAAACAAGAGTCATTTCAACATATGTAGCGGAGATACTAACATTATTCCTTTCTCTGAAACACGATGTAATACCCAGCTATCAAAACTCTAAATAATATCAAGGAGAAACCATCCAGATTCCAGCCAGTCTGGGCCTGGAATTCATATCACGGGTCTGAAGGTGATGTGATGTTAAGGCAAACAGTGACAATAAGAACCCATCATTTCCAGTGAGCTACTGAAAAGACATTTTTAAAGAGACAGCACTAATTATCTTTCAAACGAGAGGTTATTAACTGGAAATCTCCCTAAATACTTTCATCATCTTGGAAAGAACGATAGGCTTCTTTGTGCTGTGTTACCTTACTAGCAACACTCACCCTGGATCAGTTAGGTATCCCGAGGTACATGCAGGTGAATGACAGAAGGGAAGGGGAAAAAAAGGTCTCCAGTTGCCAGCATTTATTTTAAATCCTTAGCACTGCATCTAAATGGTATGGTAAAAATGTAAATTCCAGCTATGAGCTGTTGTTAGGAAGGCACCTACAAAGAACCTCCTCTGTGCAGACCAGAAGAATTGAAAGAAAAATTGCCATTGAGTACATATCATATCAGTTCAGGAATCAGTTAATGTTGATGGTGTCAAACTGGATCAAAGAAATAAACTGGCAATATGTAAAAAAAAAAAAAGGCAAAAATGCAATCTGTACTGTAGAGAGACAGGAAAATCATTCTGTCCAAGACAGAAAAATCTATCCAAATTGTTTTATAAATTTGTATAAAAAATAAACATCTCTTGCGCTTTAATATTTAATGAGGGCAATATATATAATTTAATAACTAAGCAGAGACTATGATTTTCAGGAGCTAATGTCATTTTACTGACACAGCATTCACTTCAATGAGAAAAATGAAAGATCCTCTTAACATGATTGTTATAAAATGTATACCGCTTTAACTCACAACTTAAACAAAGAGAAAATATTTCAAATATGGAATACTTCATCTCTGAGAAATATTCTGAAATCTCAAATAAACAGCTGAAATATGGACAGTGTCCAGGCTTTTAAAACATACAAAATAGAATTTCATCATTGTTTTTAATATTTGTCTGAAACGGACCAAGTTAGGTCACAAAGTATCTCCTTTCAGTTAGTACTTCTTCATGGAAAAAGTATCTTCAAATCTGTCAAAACCTTAACCAAATTTTGGTGGCCAAAATTTATGAGAGACAACTTCCGTTTTAAAACCCCAGCCTAGCCTTACAGTGTAATGAACTCATATAAAATCAAAAGCCATGTGCTAGAGGCTTATGTAAGAGAACAAGAGTGGGATCAAATTGAATCAGCAACCTTGGCTTTTGGCAACAGGCCCTAATCAATTGTAATAATCCCAGTAGGCAAATCACAGCTGCCGCCACAGCTGGCTTGAACCCTTGACCATCTGGTTTTAAGTAGACCCATCAATCTATCTTCATAAATTGGCAGTTAAGAAATTATCAAAGACCCTAATAAGAACCCAATTATTCTAATATGAAATATACTTAACTTTAAATTTCCCAACCTGTAACTTTTATGTAAAAATCCAGCTAACAGCACTGACCCATGCTAAAGAATCAATCTCCTATCAAGTGAGCAAGATAAATAAATAGAATATGAATAGGAACATTTTCTTCTTACTGCCAACATGCAAATTTATGAAAACAAGACAGTCAAAGTTCCCATTAAAAGGCTGTTAACTAATGGAATAAGAAAGTAGAAAATATACGGATATTCAGACCATAAGGTTTGATCCTCTGTCCAGGGAACATCTGGCTCCTAGAAACCTCCTTTTAAGTCAGGACAACAGGCCAAACTCAGGGGCCTTACCTTGACTATCTGAATTCCCATCGAGTCATCATCAGGATTACTCCTTTCATTGAAAGTGAAGCGCATGGTTTTGTCCCAATCAATAGCTATACTGTGCAAATAATGATCTGCCAAGGTCAACCAAACCTAAAATATTAACAGATAAAGAAGAATGCTAACGTAAAATATATAATTTTACCTTTCTTTGTTAAAAAATAGTTATTGCATCTAACAAGAAAATGGGAACTGATCCTAGACCAAATAGAGTCCACAAGTAGAAATCAACTTTTCATTGAAATGTCTGCTATACTGAATTGCACCAATTAGGGTCTTTCATTTATTCTTTCCATTAATATTTGCTGAGTTCCTACTATGCACCAAGCAATGATTCAGCCATTAGGGATATTGTTAAGAAAAAAAAAATCTTCAACTCTCATTTCAGTTCACTGGATTAGCTATATTACCTTCTGAGCTTGTTATATTTGGCTCAGAATTGCTCTCTGTACTTGGAAATTCATGGAGAATGGGTCTTTTTTCACCATGAAGCAGACTCTGCCTTTAAATCATCCTTCAATCTCTATCACACACACAAAACTGACAGATGGGGTCCCATAATGAATAACTTTTTTAGAAGAGTCACTGGATATTTTTATTCCTTTGATTACTTTATCCTAAAAAGCTGTTTCTGTAAGATTTTTAATGTATATTTTTAGGAATGCCCAATGTTCAAATTCTAGGGGTATTAAGACTAGGTTTATAAATTAATATACTAAGAAAGCATTTCGAGATTTAGTATTTGAACATACTTTAGCAGGAATAACACTGATCAATATCCCCAGCCAGCTTTTTCCCCCAAGCATCAGAATCGCATACCTTATATTCAATCTAACAGGAATCCATGTCAACTCAGCCTTCAAAATATATCTAGACTGTGACCCCTTTTCTCCATCTCCACTACTACAACCCTGATCGACCTCTTACCTGAATTATCCCAAGTCTTCCATTGATCTCCCTGCTTCTGCCCTTGTCCATCATATTATCAAGCCAGAGAGGCCCATTTAAAACATAAGTTTTATCATGTTACTCCCCAGCTCAAAACATCCCAATGCTTCCCATCTCAGACTGGGCAAAGGTCCTACTATGGCCTATAAGGTCTACATGATCTGCCATCCCCTTACTCCCATCACCTTTACTTCTATGACCCTCTCTCCAATTGCTTTCCCTTTTGTTCACTGTGCTTCAGTCACCCCGGCCTCTTGCTTTTGCTTGCACACTCCTGAGATGCTCTCACTAGAGGGTGGTTCCTCTGTTTGGAGTGCTCTTCCCCCAGGTAGCTGCCTCTCCAGCTGCTCACCTTCATCAGGGCCCCATTCAAATGTCACCTTGCTATTTAAAATTCCACCTCCTTACCTCCATTCCCCCACCCGGCTCTCCTCATTTCTTTCTCTGCTTTATTTTTATGCATGGCACTTATCACCATCTGACATACTTTATACTGTACTCATTGTAAACTCCATGAGGACAAAAACCTTGGTTTGTTTTTCTATCCTCCCACTCCTGTATCCTCAGTACCTGGAACAGTACCTGGCACAGAATCGATAATCAATAAATGCTTATTAAATGAATTAATAATGAAGAGAGACAGCTTCCAAATTACTAAATCTAGAATATTCTTTTGGACATTTCAGACATTTTAAAGAGGAACAGAGTGCTAATCCTTTTGTATTTTAGCCCTCTGAATCCTCCTTACCTTTCTCCTCCATTCCTTTGGTATTCCTGTTGATAGTCTGGCAACTGCCTTGAGAGCATCATACCACTAGGAACACAGAAGAAACATTGGCAAAGTGATAATATTGACCTGGATAAGAACTTTTCAATCTTTTTCCTATTTTGACATCCAGAGAGTATGATAAAATTTGTACAGCACACTGAGGTAAACAGAGCTTCTTTCAGCCAGGCTCCAAGGGCTGCCCAACTCCAACCTTAGGCACTCAATACACCTGGGACCCATGTGCACACACAATGGTTGGGAAGCTCTAGTTCAGAAACAAAAACATGTATCACAGATTCAAAATAATAGATATTCGGTTTTTTAAATTTTTTTTCACACTTGCACCATTAATAGCAAGTACAAAATTTTTTGTTGCAGGTATAAACCCAGGCCACTTGTAGGCTCGTAAGTTAATTTATCTATAATTTTTAAAATGGACTCACCTTATGTGTCAAAGTATACACTAATTGTCCTACTTTGAGAATATATCTTAGTGTACCTTGTAGATACCCCCAAATAAGAGTATTTTCAAAAACCAAAAATAGTTACCTGCTGAAAACCATTTTGACCTAAAGATGGCTCAAGAGTGAACTTCAACTTTGTGTCAACTCCTAAAAGAAAAATATATAACTGTTATTTTGGAAGAAAATAACAAGTTAGATCAAAAATAAAAGTAAAAATTAACGTGATTCTACTGAATCATCATAAAATTTTAAAACATATTTTTACTAAATTTTAGTCAAGTTTGCTAAAATAAAAGGTAATAATACTGATTTCTAAAATAGAAAAATAACCCGGAGCCACTAGAATAGAGCTTATCACATAGAATGGTGGCTTCCACAGTGGTCTGGAGTAGTGTAAAAAAACCAAAAACATGACACCACAGACTTGGAGTCACTCAGATCCCCCACTCAACTTTGGTTCCTAGTGTCAAACAAATTATTTAACTTGTCTCAGTCTCAATTCTTTTTTTTCTTTTTTGAGAGAGAGAGAGGACATGGGGGGGCAAGGGGCAGAGGGAGAGACTCTTACATAGGCTCCATGCCCAGAGCAGAGCCCAGGCGGGCCTGGATCTCAGGACCATGAGATCATGACCTGAGCCGAAACCAAGAGTCGGTGGCTTAACCAACTGAGCCACCCAAGTGCCCCTCAATTCTTTATCTTTAAAATGAAGATAATATCTATCTCAGTAGATTGTTGTGATGTTTAACTATTAATGACCCAGCAGAGTATAATTAATATTTATGAAACTTAGGAAGAGAATTCTCTACTTACAGAATTTGTTTTCTAAGACATTTGCATGGACTAAGTCTATGAAGAAAACTTCAGTGAAATATTAAAAGTTATAAAAATAATATCACTGTCATACTACATCAAAAACTAATGATGTATGGTGATTAACATAATAAAAAAAATGAAGAAAAAAAGGAAAAAAATATCACTGTCTTCTCACTTGTGGAATAATCCACGTTAACAATCTTATTTGGAGATTTTCATGTTATCTTAAAATTCTGTCATGATACACTTGCTCACTGAAGATAAAACAGTTGGTGTGTTTAATCATAGACTACAAGCTAAAAATATAACTGAGCTCTAATTCCAAGTTGTCTACAACTTTAAATAAACTTCTTTGATTCCAATCCCAAATCTAAGGAAGAGAAGAAAATAAATAGGAGAGGGGCGCCTGGGTGGCTCAGCCGTTAAGCATCTGCCTTCAGCTCAGGTCATGATCCCAGGGTCCTGGGATCGAGCCCCGCATCAAGCCCCGCATCGGGCTCCCTGCTCAGCGGGAAGCCTGCTTCTCCCTCTCCTGCTCCGCCCTGCTTGTGTTCCCTCTCTGGCTGTCTCTTTCTTTGTCAAATAAATAAAATCTTAAAAAAAAAAAAAAAAGAAAAGAAATAGGAGAATATATCAAGACAATGTGTTTACAATATAAAGACTATATGCTATATTCATATTGGGCTTTTATTCAGAATCCCACGTTAGAAGTATGTGCCGTTGTTCCTGAAGTGAAATTACATGACAATTTTAATTCCCATGTAAATTTTATTAAAATAATATAATCAAATCTGAAAATGTTATATGTTCTTTTTCTATAATGTCAAAATCAATTAAATCATATTTCAGGTCACTTTTTTAAAGACTTATTGCTTAAAAGTTCAAGGATCAAGATATACCAAACATTATTAATAGCATTTCAGTTTTACAATTTATGATTGTTAAGTATGACAATATATTTGCTTCTAAGATGTTGATTGCAGAGTAGGCATACTGAAACCCTCCCCACAACTTCCACTGCTTGGGAGTTGGTATGTAGATAGAAACGATCTTCAGAATTTAAAATTACAATAATAAAGTAGAGTTGTCCTTTTTAAAAACATATATATATGGAATCAAGAAGCTGGAAAGAGATGTGTATGATTTGCCCAAGCCCATGACAGTATGCAGATGCCCTTCTTGGGAGTCCTGGAAGAGTACTATGAATACAAGAGTTGGGTCCTAGATTTCTAAAGTCAAGCTGTGGTACAGAATCCCAGGCATCCAATCAATGCCCTGATATGTCTTTTCAAGGTTTCAGGGCCACAAGCATATTCTGCCTAAATAGATTAGATTTCCTTCCCCAAGGGTATATCAAGCACCCCTGCAAATTCTCATCTGAGATGGTTTAAATGAAGTCCTGCCTCAGTGCAGAGCAATGACACAATGGCCACATGATTGCCTCCAGCTGGAGCGAATGATTTAAGGCACTATGAGAAACACTTTGTTGTAAGGCTGCTGTCCAGATGCGGGTGCTGAACGGAGGAGCATATCGTCATGACTTTTGCTTTATTGTAACAAAGGCAAGAAATTCGGTCCCGCGCTGACTTATTTCAACTGACCTAAAAGCTCTGGATTCCCTGTCTGTATGACCGAATATGCTCCCTTGGCTTTTTCAGAACACCTGCTGGGCATCCGGTGCTGAAAACCGGCTGGGGTTAGTCTAAACTATTTTCTCATGATCTAAAATGAGTCACAGGATTTAACTGGAATTGATCATTCACCACCTGCATGCGATTGCTGAAATCAGGTCATTTTCTCCTCTTTTCTTCTAACTAAGGGAGGGGAGAAGGTTTATGTTTCATCTGCTAGTCACGGCTGTTCCGGATTCAGAAATACAAAACACTTTTAACGTGGAAAGGAGATTTTTTTTAAGGGTAAAGGAAGATGGTGAATAAATATTACAGTCTCTGCAATTAGACACTTCCTTGGGGAGAAAAACAAAGAAACCACAAGGTTCGTAAAGGCAGTCACGCGTTCCACCCTTTACGGTTCCGCGCCTTGTCAGATTCTCTCCAGCAGCCTCAGGATAGCAGGTCCCCGATGGCGCTGGGAGGCAGGGGCTGGAGAAGGACAAACTCGCCTGGAACCCCGCTGGTGCCACGCTGGGGACAAGCGAGCGGCGCTAAGCACCGATGAGAGTGCAGCCGGCTCCCTCTGCGGCCACCCCTTGCCAGAAAGCTCTCTGCCCAGGCGCCCGCGCCAGAGCCGGGCCCATAAAACCCCGGGGACGGATGCTGGGTGGTGGAGCAGACGCGGAGTTATGCAGCCTAGAGAAGAAGGGATGTGTAAACACAAGCTAGCGGCATAAAGGGCCTAGCCTAGCACGCAAGGACTTTGGCTCTAAGAAAGAACCTCTACTTGCAAGAGTGTTTCCTACCCGCTCCCCACACGGACACACAAATTAAGAGGCTCCAGGCGAGCTGACCCTGGCACGCCGCACAGACCCTCAGGAAAATGCACCCGATTTTTCCTTCGCAGCCGCTGCCTTCCCCTCCGTCCCCAAGTATCAAACCTGTGCCTTTCTCCCCCTCACACACCTCTTTCAAGATCTGGCTTCCTGTGAGCCCGCAGCACAATTGGCTGCGCGGCCTCTGGCAGCCTGGGTAGCCGCCCGCACTGCCACAGCACGCGCACAAGGCCGAGCGCACCGCTCGTCAGCGGCTCCCGGCACAAACAGGGCTAGACCGCGCACAGGCCGCGGGGTCGGGACCCTCCGGCAGGAGCCGGCGGCAGCGGGTCCTCCCAGCCTTGGGAGGCCGCTGCCCGCGCCCAGGCCTTCGTCCGCTCTCTTCCCTCCCAGACCGACTCAGCCCCGCCTGCGCGGAGCCGCGGTACCCCGCACCGAGCGGCCCGCGAGCGCTCCCCGGCCTAGGCGGAGTGCAACTGAGGCAGAGACACCAGCTCCGGGCGCCACGCTACTTTCCAGTGCCCCATCTGCAGCCCCGGGTCCTCACCCGGCTCCAGGGTGCAGAGCAGCCGGGGCGCGGTCCGAGAAATGCAGCTGCGCTTTTTGAGCACATTGCTCAGGATGGTGCCCACGCCTCCGCCGCCGCCGCCGCCGCCACCCTGCCGCTTCAGGCATCTCCCTCCGCGCCTCAGGGAGCCGGTCAGCTTGTCCTGCCGCATTCGAGAGCGCCCCGGGCTCCGGCGCGGCCGCCGTCCGCCTGGGTCCCCGCAGCCCCGCCGGCGTAGCCGCTTCTCGTGCCGGACTTGGCGAGTCCGCTTAGTCGAGGGCCCCTCCGGAGCAGCGAATGTGCGGCCGGCGGTCGGGGGTACCGGTGGAGCCGCCGAGCGCGGGGCGGTCGGCAGGCATCTGCACTGCGGAGCCTGCACGGCTGAGGCAGGAGAGGGCTTGGGGCGGGGAAGAGGGCGGGAGCGAGCGAGCGCGCGGGAGACGAAGGCGGTACTCCCGCCCCCGATCCCGGCATCACTGTGCGCAGGCGGGGCGGCCCTAGCTCCCCAGCGCCCGGCGGGCTCCTGCCGCCTGCGCCCCGGGGTGGCAGAGCGGCGGAGCCTGGAACCCCCGGAGGCTGGGAACTGGAGAGCGGCCGGGTGAACAACTGCGCCCGGGGACCAGAAGCAGCGGGAGATTTCTGTGCTTTTCCCAAGATCTGGGAGGGGCTGGGGAAGCGGGGGGGGCAGGGGGGGAGTCTCACGTGCAGAACATCAGAGAGATGCAAGTGACCACCTAACCAAACAGCGTCAGAAGGGACAGTTAGCAGACCGAAGGACGAATCTGAAGCGTGGCAGAGAAGCTGGCAGATGGTGAAGCACAAGCTTCATCCCAAATTGAGTTAAACTCTTTCCTAGCAGCTCAGAGAGGCATGGAAAACACGTAAAAAATAATAATACTGGTTGTTTCTCTTGGAAGAATAAGACTTCAAGAAAAAAAGTGTTCACATTTAAAAGCAGTGTTTTTTTAAAGTGCATCCTCATCTCTCCAGCCGGAGACTTAAGTAGTTTAGAACCATTAACTATCATTACTGTTTAAAAAAAAAAAAGTCATTCCTTCGATGGACATTAACCAATCGAATATTAATCATAAAAATGAATGAGGAATAAGGAAGGAAAGGATGTGGAAGGAAACAGACATTTGTATTTGCTAATATTTAGAAAAGGAACACTACATGGATAAATCAAAACTAAAAAGTATATGGGAGGGAACAGTGGAAGAAAGAGGAATGGAAAACTGAGAGGTCTTCTGGATGTGCCTTATATAGTTTTGACTCTGGAATAACATATTAATAAAAAGAAAAATGAAAAACAAATGAACCTAACTGAATATCTTGTT